TTTTTCCAAAATTAGCTAAAAGAATTGCTATATCTGTAGTAATTTTAAAAGTTAAAGAAAAGTGTGAAGAGTCTCAATTGCGAATACTGTAAGGTGTTGTCAATCAGATCCAGTCAGAAAATGTTCAGCCACTAGATTAAAAGTTTAAAAATTTATGTCTGCTGAGCATTTCTTTGAGTTCTGGTTGCAAGCAGTTATTATCTGCCCACAAGAATGATGAAGAACTTGTGCTTTTTATCAAAAATTCACAGATACAACTTTTCTCTCAAATCGGTAATTTCTCTCATTGCTTTACTCCTCTTTTCAGGTGAAAAGGAACAGAGAGAATAAAAACTATAAACTTTTTCCTTTGATGAAAAATTGATAACAATTTTTTCTGCAAAACAAATTGAAAACAATGGGAAAAAAAGCTTGGGCTTGCATCCAAGCGAAGATGTCAGCTGGCTGCCCAAAATACAAGGGTTTTTTTAAATTATTTTTATTTTAGGTACACCACCACTTTAATTGGCAGATGCAATTAAGAGAAAGACCTGCTGGGCACAATCTGAACTGTGTTCCAGCTGACAGAAATGGAGATGTTTGACTCCTGGTTGTGCCTGCAACACACTGTGGAAGCTGCGAGCACAGCCTCTGACCAGCCTGTATCTGTTTAGTGAAGAACAGTGTGCAGAGCTGTGAACTGGACACAATTTATAAGCATTATAAACACAACAAAAATCCAATTCAGGCCAATAAGCTTAGGGACTGAGGGCTAAAAGGACATCAGAGCCTTCTGGGGGTTTTCTCTTGCACTTTCTCTGCTTAGAAAAACTGCATGCTTAAAATTTTTTTTTTTAAATTGCTGTTTCAGATGAGAATGTTTGTAGGAGTTAGGGGAAGAACTTCTCGTGCCACTCACACTGTTGGATTAGCTGCTTTCAGGTGTTTCTTCTAGCATCATAATAACAATGTCATTAAAAACGTTGAGGAAAGGAACAGACAACTCACCTGTTCCTATCAAAGCAGCTAACAGCTCAGGGCACATCTGTAGGTCAGAAATATCTTCTTTGGACTGTTCAAGTTTGATAATCCTCTGTATGTAAGGCCATACCTGCCAAGAACCCTGCAGAATTGCTGTCACCGTGGCATTCTTTATGAAAAGCTTTGTGTTACTGCCAGTATGCCACAGACAATGAGAGAATAAGGCACTAACCTTGATTATATAAATCAGCAAACATTGCAGTCATTAACAGGAAGGCAGATGGAAACCTAAGGAAACTTTAGCATCAAATCCTTGAGTATACAGTCACAGCTGCGGCCGCAAATAAAAACTGGAAAACATTAACGACAGCGAAGGGGTCTGCAGCTGTATAGCAAGAGACTGCCTGCCTGTGGAACACAAGGGATTCATTACTGCAATTTTCCTGAAACGAGTTATACTGACAGCTTTTTGCAGTGAAGCTGAAATAAAGTCCTCACATCGATATGCTCTCAGAACACAGCACCAGTTAGAGAGGCCATCACTTCGCTTGAAACAAGAAATGCGCTGCAGTCTAATTTCCAGGAGAATTAAGGAAATAAAGAAAAAATTAGATGGATTCATCAGTGTTGGCAAACAGATAATGAAAGCTTCACATTTTATCTCTGCCACAGGAAAATAATCTACCAATGAAATTTTGTCATTTCAGCCATTAGCAGTTAAATTCTAGTCAGTGCACCGGTGTCAATGTGCCAAGGCAAGGGTTTGAACACTGAAATCACTTTGAGTGTATGGCCATTGCACTTCCCTTGAGAGTTTTACTGCAGCAGAACATTCATACATGGGGAAGTACTACATGCAAACTCAACAACTCTGAGTAGATACAACCCACAGCAAAGGATTACAACAGATACAGAATTCTTCCAGAGGAACACCGGCACTGTTTATTTTGACTTGCAGCAGACAACATCAAGCAAACAATCTTTGCAAGTCCTTACCAGGTCTGTGGTCTATGACTCTATAATTACCAAATAGTTCATCTTCAATAAGCTGTGCAGAAGCAGCAGGCTGCATGATATGGAAGAAAAATTGCTTTTTGTATGCTACCAGTGATGCTGACGAGAAGAGAAAAACAGATAAAAGGATAGCTCTGACAAGAGATAAAGATGAAAACAAATGAAATAGCAGTAATCAGAACTCATACATACTGAAGAAGAAAACAGAAAAGGTGTATTTGCTGGGAAAAAGAAGCAGTTTGTGAAAGGAGAGATGTCATCCTCAGAAGAGCAGTGGTGACATGGCTCCTTGGGGCACAAAGTATTCACACTCATAGGCTTAAGTGAAGTAGGGAAAAAGTCAGCTTGATCTAATGTAGAGAAGGGATGAAGGCAAACTTCACATGAAAGCGTGAAACAATCTGCAATCTGGTAAAAAAAAATCATGATGGGGAAAGGCAGAAGTTGGGGAAATGTCAAAAATGAGGAAACAGCTATGTATACTGAGAAAGAAAAGGGAAAAATGCTGTTTTTGAAGAACATAAGCCTGGACAAAGAGAAGAGGCAGGCAGTAGTGATATTCTGACACATGTCTCTTCATGTCTTTTCTTGAACAAGGAATGCAAACTAATACAGCCTACTATTAGACAGGCTCATTGTTTTCACCTAGGACACTTTTAGCTCTGCAGAGCTGAGGTGCCAGCCATAGGAACTGCCATCACATCCTCACCAGATTTCTTGGCAAAATGGAAAAGCCAAGTGGGGCAAAGGTGCAGGTGACAGGATGATCACACAGGCAGATTGGTTTGGTCACCAAAAGGCAAAAAAAAATATAAAGTCATGCTGTCTGATCTGTATCTGAGCTTATTGCCCACAGTTAGCACATTCACTGGGGGTTTCTACAGTTTTTGCGTGGCAGAAACTGCAGTGGGGAAATATGTAAGCCTATTTGACACCACTCTCCTGCTGAAATGTCCAAAATTGTGATATAAGCTCAGCCAAAGAGACACTTCCCAGCATCTGTCAATGTGCTGTTTAATCCTCCTGTAGGTTCTATCAGAAAAAGTACAAAGGAGTGCAGCAATTATCTAAGAGTTGCTTACAATGATCCAGAAAACTTATCCCTAGAGGTGTTCAGTGCCAGATTAGATGGAGCCCTGGGCAGCCTGGTCTAGTATTAAATGTGGAGGTTGGTGGCCCTGCAGGTGGCAGGGAGGTTGGAGCTTCATGATCCTTGAGGTCCCTTCCAACCCTGGCCATTCTGTGATTCTGTGAAAACATCACACATGGCAGCTTATCGGAACCACTTGCTAGAGAAATGTCAGCCAGAGGGAGCAAGGTAGGCACCTTGGGGTGCCTGCTCTAAGAAGTTACTTAGAAGAGGGAAAAGACTCCAGTTGAAATAAAATCTATTAAATAGAAATATATGGATAGTTTATACTGTCAAAAGCACTAAAGAATTTGAGGAGGAGCAGCAGCTGGCAGAGGAGCAGCCAGCCCCAGTTTTAGTGAATGTCCTGAACTCCCTGTAGCCAGGCAGCTCCCCCTTTTCTTGCTTCAGTGTCTGTCAGGTGGCCTTATTTTAAAGCTAAAAGTGGCTTTTCAAGGTTTTCAGTACCACAAATGACAGATGAAAAGTACAAGGAACATATATCCCATAAATAAACCATCCCTTCTAAATGAGCTCAAGAAATGGTTGAATTTAGGGAGAGCTGCCTATTCAAAAACTGACAGCAGGAACAGTAGCATTCAGCTCAGTATATGCAGTGCACAATGCAGATGTCTCCTAGGAAATAAAATTTGCATGGGCTTGACTCTGTCCCCGGTTTGCAGTATCTTGGGTGAGGTCAAGTGCACCTTAAGTTATGTGTTTATTTTAGAACAAACTGTGCTTGAGAAATGCCATCTGAGAACACCTATAGAAATGATAATATAAGGAGTCTAGTTGGTTACATGGAGACTGTGGAAAAGAAATCCATGGAAAGGATAACTTTTTAAGGAAGAAAACCTCAGAAAGGTTTAGTGAGTTCAATTTTTTTTTTTTTCTCCCCACAGAAGAAATATATTACAATCTACAACATGTTTGGGGGAAGGAGAGTAGAAATTAAAAGGACAGTTCTCACAATAAGGACCAAAAGTAACAGCTAATTTAGTACAGGAAGAAATGTTTCCTGTGCTACTGTAAATAATAGTTGAGACACCAAGCAGTCACGGGAGCAGATATACTTATCTGCTGTTGGCAACTTAGTCTTGTCATTTAAAAAAAAACAATATAAATGTATCTAGATAAATCTTTAATCCAGTATCATTAAAAGAAATACGCAGGCTATTATCAAGCCTGTATGTTTAGAAAAGATTACCAAAGCTAACATACTGCTCTCATCCAGACGCAAGCAGTGAGTTGCATTCAAACCTTTTCAGAATTAAAATGAAAATTCAGTCTTCTTGACCAGCCAAGTAGAGTGGGCTGGTTTGCCAACATTATCGGAAGCAAGATTAGATTACATATGGGACTATATCATCTGGTCTCCATCATGTGGAGATCAAAGCCAAGACTTCAGATCTGACAGCAAATATATAGGGCCAAAGAATGACAGAAAGGATGGAAAGATGAAAAGAAATCTCAGGTTGTTGCACACTCAGCAGACAAACAAGCTTAGTCAGAAATGTGCCCTCTGAAAACACATCCCTATGGATCAGTCCTGAAAAGATACACCAGGGCTATACAAATAGTCATCTGTTTTGAGCTCATCCCAAATGCAGGTGTTGCTGTAGCTCCTCTATTTAAATTTGAATAATACTTTTTTTTGCACTTTGAATCTATAGTATATTGGACATCAAAGCATACACACAATTTAAAAGTAGTCATACAAATCATGGCTACTCATTTTCTTTTCTGAAATCAGTACACTGTGGTTGGAAGAAAAAAAAAAGCCATGAATTACACACGATGCCTGAGATCGCTGTTCAGTATCACAGTAAGTACAGATCAATATTTTTCAGCTTTTGTAGTCTGCAAATTCCTTAAAACTCATGAAGAAGCTTACCCAGTTTTCAAGCTGACCAAGGCATCTTCAACTCCTTTTTGATTATATTTTGTCATGTAGAGGTGCATATCAGGGTAGTTGTTTCTGATATTCCTTTCTGTGCTGCCATTTGGGACAGTTCCAAATCGAAAAGGAGGTGAATAATCATGTGGCCTTTGAAACTACAGAGAAAAAAGGAAAATCAGGATCTTTCAGGCACTCAAAATAGGTACCTATGGAGATGTAACTTTAGCAAGAAATAACTACCAGGGTAATTTCAGGTGGAAAATAAAAATCTTGCATAGGCTGTCTCAAATTTATTCTAGGCAAATGCATGGGGTTCACACTCAGCTCTATTATATCAGAAACTGTCTTCACACTGGGTGAACTACACAGAAACATCTACATGCCAATTAAAAACAGCTCAGATGTGCCACTTTGATAAGACTTTCTTCCATGCATTGAGATATGGAAGAACCACAGAAACTGGAACAGAGAGATTCTGGAAGATGTTCCCCATCTGCCAATGTGTCCTTAGAGAACCCAAACTCCAGGCAGACACTCTGGTATATAACAGTTGTAGTTGATAGTCATTTCACACCTTCATCTCAGCGGAGACATAGTGGGTTGCCAAGGGAAAAGGATCATTTTCACATCCCAAACAGAGCCTAACACTCTGTTCCAGAGGTGATGCGGTGCGCAGGGAAGAAAAGTGTGAGGGCTGACTTCCCTCTTACCCCTGTGATTCAGGGGGAAGAACAGTTCTTGCATCTTCCCCAAGGCTTCAGCAGCTACATCACTTGATAGGCAAAGTGTCTCTGGAGCTTTCACACCTATAATCCTAGATGCAGTTTATTCCTACATACCATTTGCTCAAAGGTAAATAGATGTTATTCTACAGTTTTACCCTCTGTTATCACTATTGCATCAGCACAAACAGGCAAGCCAGGGACTACTCAACAGGATTAACAATAGCTCAGGGCACACACAAGTGTAAGATAATCTCACTCCAACACTTGCTACTAGACCTGAAAATTATGTACATATACATTTTTCAATATCTCCCATTAAGCACCACGTGACACTTTAGAATTGTTAAAATGTTTCTCTAAGAAAGAAATTTTGAAATGCCATTCAAATTAGAGGAACTATTGGCTAGTAAGGGAATTCAATTAAGCACTGATAAAAGCAGTCACCCATAAATTCCACGGTAAAATGCACTCTGTTTTTGCTGTAGAAGTTAAAGAGCAATCTACAAATCCTGTGCTGCAAGAGAAGCTAATATTTATACAGCTGCTGCTTCCTTTGGGCTACATATGTAATGCTCCTCTTTTTGAAGTTTGGTCTCAGGGCGTTAAGAATTTTCAGTATCCAGTGCCAATTTGGAAAGAAAATACAGTTATACAAAAAGTGGGAGTATTTTCCATTCCATCAAACCCTGACTGTGAAATTATGGCTGCAACAATATTTTCCTGTTAAAGAACTACAATTAAATGCTTCATTTTAATTAAGCATATTTTGACAAAGCATAAAGAAATGAACTTTATTTTCCTCTATTCATCTAGCTAACAAATGTCTTACTTTTCTCATTTTCCCATTTCACAGCTATACTGTTTAAATTATTACTTTGCTACTACCTTGCACATACTAATTGACCTATGCACTAAAATTACACTATATACCAGTCATGGTTCTTAGACTGTATTTGCTTTCTCCTTTTTGTGTTCACTACGTGGCACTGAGGCAAATCCTGCTTTTAAATTTATGTCTAGAGATTCTACTGATACATCTGTAGTCTGCTATTATCTTTATTTAAATGTTCATATAATTAATTAATCCCTGAAACAGTGAGATGCCTTCCAATAACTCCTAATATCTGATTCAAATTTTCGAATTAATAAAACTGAATGAGAAAAAAAAAATCAAAAATCGACATCAATTTCAAGACCTGTAAAAATTGCTGCTGTTGACACGATTGGTATTTATGGAAATTCAACGGTAGCGAGCATTTTGCAAGCTTGGTTCCTAATCCTGGGGTATAACATGAGGGATTTGGGAACAGGAAGATCATAGTGGAACACCTTGGTGATTTACAAATGGAGTTTGGTTTGAATAGTCCCACTTTTCAAGAACATTCAGGTGGGTTAAAGTTGTTGGCACCATTTTCCTCCCACAGGAATGGTTGCAGTTTTCCATCCCAAACTGAACACTCAAATAACAATATTTCTGCAGGAAAGCACAGATTAATAAAAAGTGCTAGTTCATTTTAACATCATAACGATATCAAGTAATTCAACTGATTAAATAATTTGTATATGAATTCGCATACAGAAAAGTCAGAAATGAATAGTTCCAAACATCCTCCACTGACTGGAATTTCTTGCCACAAGGCACTTAACCAAAAACATTGAATGGTAACGAGATATTTCTGTGGAAGTGATTGTGTGGCGCTGCTGCCTGATTACGTGTAAATGGGAAAACAGTTTAAAACATTTTTACTAATGCTGTACTCTTATCTAAGGTGCATAGATTTCTAATCAGTAATTTTAAACATGTATTTAGAGAACTGACGTGTCCTAGGCTCTATGATTCAGCAGAGATCTGCGTGGTGTGGTAGGCATAAAAGAAAGAAAAAAGCACTGAATCTACAGATGTACTCATTTTCCCTAAAACCCCATAGTGGGAATTAAAATGTATCATGTCTGTTAGGAAGCAATTTTCTTCCTAGACATTTTCTGAAATGTTAATTTTTTTCTTTTTAAAGTTGGTAATAAAATCCTTAAATTTAATGCACAAGCCCCCTGCTTGAATCATAACAGCAGAGATATCAACTATTATTCAGAAGACAAAACAATTCATTCTCCGTGCTCTGCCTGCAGCTTGATCTGTAGCACATGGTAACCAAACCCCAATCCTACTGCTCTGGGAACCTCCAAAAGGATGCCCAAGCTTAGGAAAAACAGTGCTTTTAGTTTGTTTTTCCTATATGCCTAAGGAAAACTGACAGTTTCATTAGGCAGTAAAGTGATCTTTCACAAATGTTTAATATGGACTTAATTTGATGATATGCACGTCTGTCTGAAAACGTTGCTATTTGGAGCAGTTGTTAGCTTTGTTTTTTTCAGGACTATTTTAAGGAACAGCAGAAAACTTATTAAAATAGTAGAAAATAGTAAATATTCTCCCTCTGCTAACAGGATTTTAGTGGAAGTCATAGATGGAGATAGGAAAAAAATAACCCACATTTGAATTCTGATTTATTCTAACAATTTGCTTTCTGGTCTTTGAAAAATGTAGCTGCTATGTTTAGTAACTCCAAATTATTATAATCACCATTCAATATCTACCTCCAACAAGTCTCAAAAGGCACTGAAGGCTATAATATCAAAGAGGAGAGATGGACAGGGGTAAAATGGTCGCCCTACTATTTCATCAGCCAATACTGCCTTTTGATCTCACCCTGCTCTGTTATGACACAAGGATGGCTCTAAGTAACTAGAGAGCTTGTGCTGTCTTACCTCACAAAAAAAGTAAAGGTAATATTCCAAGAACATTGTGAATCCTAAAAATTAAGGAATCTGTAAACAGCATCATAAAGGCTCCTTATTAAGGTGGAAGAGAATCCCCATGACCACATGCATATGGAGCATTTTGGAGGAACCACAGCAGACAAAGGCTTTGGAAGACAATTCTGTCCAATGCTTCCTACTTTCTCTTAATGATTTTATCTCTCTTCAGATGAAAAGGTATAAATGGCCTCAAAAGTAGCAAGTGCTATGAGAGCCAAGCTTCAATGGATACTTTTGGACTCGTTTTCTATACCTTTTTACGAACACAAAGCTTTTAGAAATCTTTTACATATACAAAAATGTCAAAACATAATTTTCCTCTTATCTTCTAAATCATCTGAGTTTATGAACGCCCACCCCCAGTAACTCCAGTACATGCTGTGCCATGTATTTCTGGGTGACACGCAGATGACACAGCACTCAGAAGTTTATTAGCAACATTATGAAGGATGACAGTTTAATCAAGAGGTCTTAAAGCCAAGAAAGGTAAGCAGCATGTTGCTGTGTTCAGCAAAACCAGGGGTTGGATGCTGGTGTAAACGCATTCCTAGGGTGGAAGTTACTTAATGCTGAGTGTCGGAGTGACTGCTCAGAGATACTTATTCTCCTGACTTCTCTATTATCTGTCAGTTATGAAGTATTGAGAAACTCCTGAAGCTCTGATTGGGAATGATTTATTGCTTGACAGCACTGACAAAGGAGCATGACTTTTCAGTTATGGAAGTAAGAAAAAGAGGAAAGTGGAAGAATAACGAAACCAATTTCCCAACCACTCACAAGTTAATGAAGGCCAATTCAACTAACACAGATAGGAAAGGAATCTTTAGGTTTAAGGATTAAAATTATGCTCAGCCAGTACAATTACTCAGGTCTCTGGCTATTTTTCTATATTGAAATTTGCCAACTTAACCAGAATTTGGTGAACTTCTAGATGTTACTAATTAATTTTACTCATATGCAATCTTGTCTCTTCACACTGGCGTTTGCCTGGGACAGCTCAGTTTGCAGCAAGGGTCAGAGTTTTCCTGAACTGTTCCACTGCTAATGATATTACAAAAACAAGGCAAAGACAAGAGTAAAATATTATATATTTTCAGTTATGGAAGTAAGTATATTATATACCCATTAATTACTCCTAATTATTCAAATTTTGAAAATTTGAGAAAGCTCAAGCTTGTAGAGAACCAAAACCTGTGCGTGAGAAGAACATTTTAAATAGATTTTTTCTTTAGTGGGTTTCTCGCTTGTTTAACTAATTTAATCAGAAAAGGTAAAGCACCCCCTGATATATCTCTGTATGTTTCAGGCAGGATTTGAAGAACTGTAAAATAAAATTTAATCTTAAATAACAAATAAATAATCTGCACATGAGTCGATGTTATTTTCTGATTCAAGTGTTTTTTCTTTGCTTTTTCTTTTGGGTTTTTTTTTTTTTTTTGGTAGAAATAAGATCTCATTTAGTAGAGAGAACAGAAAAAGTGACACCAATAAAGATTATTTAACATCTAAAAATAAATTGTTAGTCAATGGCTACAGAACAAATACAGAGACTTTCCCAGCCCACAGGTAAGAGGGCGCTCAGCACAAGTTGGGGCAGAGGGAAGACAGCAGTGTGTTGGTAGACCTGAACATCAGCATGGTGCCAGGTGGAAGCTAAATCCTGCTCAAACAGAACTTCCCAGGAAAACACTATTTCATCAGAAACAGGACAAAGGATGTTTTAAATCTGTGTTTTTAATCTGTGAGAGGAGAAAATCTTTTAGCTATTGCTTGCTAAATATATTATCTTTAAATAGAGGTGCTTCTATTCATACTCTTTCAAGGGTTCTGCTTGTTTTTCCACAGTTTTTTTTTTTGTTGTTGTTGTTTCCTTTTATCCGTTTTCTCCCTAGCCATGCTTGCAAGTCATGCTTTGATAATTCAGATCACTCAAAGGCCAGTCATTGAGAACCATTAAATCAGTAAACAGGTGTGAGTCATCTGAACTGTTTCTTTTTAATAACAATTTCTTTTATTTTCTGTCCTTTGAAATAAATCCCTTGTGAAGTTCTCCCTTCTGCTACACTCTGCTGAAATATTACTTCTCAATGTCAATATTTAGTTTCATTTTAAAACAACTGGGCAGAGACTTGACAACGGTGTGCCCTTTATGTGCTTTGTGCATATCCTTCACAACAATACTTTTGTAAATGGACTTCAACCCCTTGTGCAGTTGTACTACAAAACAGTCACTCAAATTAAACAACAAATAAATAATTGCTACGTCTCTGGTTTATGAGACAATTGATGAAAAATTAAAGTTCAAAGAGCTTGTATATATTTTCTGCAGAAGAAAACTCAGTCAAGCTAGAAAAATGTGAAAAATAAGTATGTTTATTATTTGTCAATTTGTGTGAAACTTCAGGAGAGCTTAAATGAGCTGTCATTTATCTACAACTTATCTGCAATTCTCCAGTGCAGAATCAAAGTCTCTCAAGAAATTCTTGAATCCAGGAAAGCCACTTCCACATTCAATATCATGTGGCTTATTCCAGGTAATATCTCAACTTTACTCTTTCCATTTTATACCAGAAATATATTCAAATGTCTACAGCGAACTTATATGGATTGCTAATGTTTCTCTTTGCCTATGCTAGTGTCACTCTAAATCTGGACTTTCATCCATGCTATATGAAAATCAAAAAGACTTTTTTTCCAAGAGCACTGACCCTTTTCAGATAATAACTGAATAGTTACTGGTTTTATGAATGTTTTGTCAATGAATAAACTATTAACATTCTACACAGAGATGTTTAAATCATTTCAAATGTCTTCCATGCGTTCAAGATGATTTATCTGCTTTTTTTTCAAGCTTTTATAGGGTGGTGAGGCATCACGTTTAATCTAACAAGAATTGATTTCCATCACAAAATTAATGTACTTTTAATTAATGCAGTTACTTTGGAAAAGGCAATACAAAGACTTTGAAATCAGTCAGATATTTTCATGCTTTGAGTTTTTAACTCAGAAAGAAGTAATACAGTTCCAACTGATTATCTTGCTCAGTTTTTTTAGTACAAAGTACAAATTTGTAGATGGATTATGAAGAATAGACATTAATGCCTTTTGAGGCAGAAGACCTACCTTTTTATCGCTCAGTCCTGTCACTTGGTCAACAAACTCCTCTTGAATCATAAATGCAGCTAAGTTGGCAGTATAACTAGCCAGGAAAATGACAGCAAAGAAGGCCCAAACTGACACCATAATTTTACTGGTTGTCCCTTTGGGGTTTTGCACAGGCACGGAGTTGTTGAATACCAAGCCCCAGAGTAACCATACTGCCTTTCCAATGGTGAAGGATGGTCCATGGGGATCTATAATTGCAAAGAGTAATAGTTTTAGTTGCAATTATATTATGTTGTGGTAAGATACCCCTCATAACAAAATGTACTAATCAAGACATGGTTAAAATATTTTAATATATATTCATAGTCCTCCCAATGGAATCACAGGATTTATCATTGGCATTCTGCATTGTAATTACACATATGTCCATAAATGTTAGAAAAATATTTGACCACTTTTCTATCCTCATAACCAGCCTTAGATTAGTACAATGCAGACACCTCCAATAATTTAATTATTATTAAACAAATAAAGCCCAAAGTGGGTATACTCAGTGCATGTCATCGTTTCAGTAGAAATGTATTTTAGAGCAATTTTCACAATACAATTAAGCACTTCTTAGATTATCCTCTCTTTGCTGCATTGCTAAGTTAGACTGCAGTAAAATGAACGTAATGGAGCCAGCCATTGGTTTGTAAAACTACCTTATAGGGCCATTTAAAATTGAGCTGTTGAACGGATGTATTTTCTGAGCAGCAATGGTAAGGAAGGTATATGGGAAGAAAACAGTCTAAAGTTCTTTTTATGTTACTTAAGAGTGTAGTGTCATTGAGCTTCTGCCTGATGAAAACAGGTAGGAAAGGGAGTAATATACTTAAAGACTCCCATTGATTTTAAGCTCTCCATATTTCAAATGAATGGCAACTGGATTTGTGGCAAGCCTCTAGGAGCTGCTAGAATGGTGTAGTGCTACACTATGAATTTCTGGCCACTATATAATTAATTCTGGCACATGAGGTGACAAAGAACAACCCGGCCTGCAGATCCCCAGTATCTCTACAAACCTTTAATTTCCCCTTCCTAAACACAGTGTTTATTTTGGACATAGGTTACAAACGTACCATCTTATCGAAACGATAACATCATCTGAATATTACAGCAAACTCCTTGTTCAAGAAGCAAACCAATCACAAACTGGAAGAAGCCATTAGCTAGTCACAGTCTCTAGGATTACATTCACCAAGCTGGGAGATTGCTTGCTATAAAGTGAGGTGACAATGATTTAGAAATTAAAAACAGCCCACATTCTGAACTGAAAGTGAAGAAAGGGGAGGATGAGGCTACCACAGTACATGAAATCCTCATTCTCAGGCCAGTGCTGATATTATACAACTTAATCAAGAAAGTCATGTTCTGTATCTCATTTATTTTGCCAGTATATTCTGAAAATTAACTTTCTATAGCCAAGGATGCAACACAGTAAGAAATCATGCTCTCTTGCCACTGGGCTCATTTCAAGGCTGAGTTCACCACAAGAGAACTATACCTTTTTATAGGGACTATATAAAACTATATACAAGCTAACAGCTACTTTTCCAGCTTGCACAACAAATTACATCATTTTAGATCATTATCTCTGAACTAGCTCTGAATTCGTAAGTCAGGAGTCCATAGAGTTTATTCCAAGTTCTTTCAAGCTGACAGTTCAGCTGTTAAAGTATACTAACCAAACATTGCCTGAATATAACTGCTTTTAATAACACTGTTCCGTGTCTTTATTGCAATGAATTAGAATGTAACCCCACCACAAAATCATATTTTAAATGAAAAGCTTCACGACTGCTTTTACTGCTTTATGTTATGTTTATTTTAAAAGATGGAGGGCAACGGATGGTAAATACATGAATACTCTTCTGATGGCTCTAGGGTTGTGTAAAATGCAAAGCTTACCTCTCCCTTGTGCTAAATTCCTGTTATATCCTACAGGACTGAAGTACTCAAATATAAATACAGCCATGGCAGACACAATGAGAAGCATCACAAACATCATCACCCAGACAGAAGCACTAAAAGGCTCTGCAGCAAAAGAGACAAGAGAAACAGAAACAGTTCATTAAACCAGTCACATCACAAGAATTCCAATGTCTTAGGGCTAGGCAAGCCCACTGGCTTTCTTTAAATTAGCTGTTTCAACCAAAATGCTAGCAGATAAACAAGCAGCAATGTAGAAGGAACTGCTATTGCTCACGTATTCTAAATCACAAATTTAAGTTGCAACTCAAATGCAAAATCTGTGTATTTCACTCCTTCAACAAAGCCTTAACTGACACAGAGGCAAATTCTTGGCTTGACTCGCTGCTCATCCCGTTTACAACTCATTTCTGTTTATCCTATGGTGTATGCTTTTATCAACAGAATGGTCCCATCATTATGACCGTATTGCTGCAGAGCAAGAGCAATTAAGCGTATACATAAGACGTTTGGCGTTTCAGAGAAGTACACCTCTCTCATTTTCTATCCAACAGAAAGCAGTAGGGAAAAGAGCCAAATGTTTCCATCCAAAGCAAATTGTATGTTTCTTTTTTTTTTTTTTTTCTTCTGTTCACTTTTATCTACCTCTAATGAAGATGTTGTTTCCACCGATAGCAAACCCATCCTTTAGCAAGTCTCGCTCTCATCTGGGAGCAAATTTCTGAAATCAAAAGCTTTCTATGGAAAACTGAACGTCAGAAAAAGTGAAAAAAACAACAAATATGATTAAGTTAAAGTAGTTTAGAACAGAAAACTAAAAGCAGTTTCAAGTACAGAATAAGCACCAACTATCTGAAGGGATTGTTACTGCCATGTGATAACACAGCGTTCTTAAATATCATCAATAACACCTTTGCTTAATCAAAAATTCTCTGTCATTTAAGAAGTTCCTGTTTTAGTCAATATAGTATAATAATGCAGGCAGTAAAGGTTTTCTAAGTCAAAGTAATCTCTTTATTCGGTCAATTTATTTGGGGGTATATATGCTAATTTTAGTAAATACTGGAAGTGTGAATGAGCTCTGAAGTGTGAGAAAGAAATCTTCAGACTAGAACAGAACCAAGAAGCACAGGATGTGACAACAAGTGAATCTGCACCCATGCTTTGCTTTTTTTGGAAGCTCAAGGCGTTCTTCCATCCAAACTTCTTCATTCAATGAATTTAACATTTGAAAATGTTTTGGATGTGAACTAACAAGACAAAACAGGGAATTATTAAACCATGCTGTTCTCTTTCCTATTTTAAGAAATGTATTTCATTTATTATATTGTAAATATAGATTATGAAATTCTTTCAATTATTACAGAAATTTGTTTGGAAGAGAATACTGAGCAAAATAACAATGTTTAAAAGGAAGAGAGCAATCCTTTCAGAAACAAATACGTACACCCAAATACACTTACTAAGAAATATTCTATGAGTTCATGTATTAATTGGAATTAATTGGAATTCACATGAAATTATCGTTCAATATTGACATCATCTTCAAAGAAGTAAGCAAGCCTAATGAAACTCTTATCAAAAGCAACACTGTGGAAACACCAATGGTAATTTGTCAAAATTTAACTAAGGCAAAGAGCAAAGCAAGTTGATTTGAAACAGCAAGCTATAAACAACAGTTTAGGCAGAATGCTCTTTAATAATTTAAGCAGATTGGTAATGAGATGGAGGATTAAAAGAAGCAACAGCAAAATAAAAAGCTATTTATAATAACAAGTAGTAAGTTTGAACAACTACAAAATCAATTGAATAATAAAGTTGATCCTCCTGTGACATTACAGATCGAATTATGCATTCAGCATTTTCATTTGATTCTCAAAGGCAGAAAGAACATCCCCCAGTAAGCAGCTGGTTTCATGTTTCAATAGAGTGAAAAAAACCAAAACAGTAGTATATGTCTTGTTAGTGTACAGTTCAGAAGATTGGCTATGGAGAACACTGAGCAGTAAAAAGGTTGGATTACTCCACTAACTTCAAGTTTTACCCTCACACACCAAAAAAGAAAAGAAATACACACACAATACATTAAAAACAAAACAAAACAAAACAAAACAAAACACAAAAAAAACCAGATTCACAGATTTCCTGTTCTACCAGTTTTTCCAAAATGGACACGTGGCCTCGACTATAATAAACTCACTCTCTTAAACATATAGAAATCTGGATTTAGGTTTTTCCTTACTTTGTCTGAATAAAATTTGAATAACATCTCTACAGGAAGTAGCATATATTAACTGTAGAAATAAATGAAGATGTTTTAACATTGATAAAATTCTTATATGCAGGGAACACCCACATCAGAAATAACAGATATGAGGAAATCTGTCAGAACACAGTAGCAGTATGGCTTTCAGAAGTCAGACACATCTGTTGCCAGTTTAGCTGTCAGATCTATTCCAGTCATAACAAAGTCTTCTCTTCTACACTTTTCTACAAGGGGTTTTAAAATAATTTCATAAATATGACTGTTAAAAAAAAACCACCAACAATTTATTATGGGCTAAACAAGAATATGTTAGTGTGTAATGCAGCTTTTCTTAAGGAAATCATTGTCATTTGGTGTCCCATTATTGCATCTGAATCCAGCAGCATTCATGTGCCAATAGTCACATTAATCAAGTTTGTCAATACCATGCTAACTTCTTAACACATAATTCAAAAATTGATGGGGTGAAACCTACCCCACTCTACAGAAATGCAATTAAATGATCTGGAGGGGTTAGAGAATCATACCTAGAAAAGCAGATGGTGAAACTGTGCCATTGCTCCGTGACACCATGACACTGATCCCAGTCTCAACAAACGGCACTGAAAAGTCAACCACTTCAGAGCGCTCTTCGTTAATAGTGAGAGACCCCACAGCCATAACTGCACGATGATAAACCACCTGATCCACGAAGAGAAGACACCACCAACATTACTCAGTAGAGAATACCTTGTTTCCCCAAATGAATTAAAAACAAACGTTGCTAAGTTCTCACTTAAGAGCTCTTTTACCTAACAGAACTTACTTCACCAATCATTCCATTCCACACATTATTGACTTTTTTGCCATGCTTCCCATTAGTCACCAAGTACAGGTCATATGTGAATTTGACAGTTTTAGACAACTTCTTCAAGATATCAATGCAGAATCCTTTGCAGCACTTCTTTACATTAGTTCCCTCATTAGTTGAGTTGCTGTCAAAAAGAGAGACACACAAAATTTTCTTCTGAGAGAAAAAGAACCACCACAAAAGCAAGATTCAGCACACTGTAAAACAACACTTTTTCCTATTTCTGAGTGACCATGTTTTTCTGAAGTATTGGATAAATAAACAATAGAATGCTTTATACAGTGGTTGCAGCTCATCCTAATCACACTGGAGTGGCTTGACAAGAGCTAAGGAGAAGATACTGACGTGCTTCCGGCTGCATTGTCTGGCCTGCTGGACTTCATCACAGGCCCCACTTAGGGATGTCTCCTCAATTTAGGTTAAGTCTTTTTTTTACTCTCAAGACGCATAAGATCACATGGAATTTAGTAATTACAGAACTGCCCATCTTGTAAGCTGAATAAAGGTGCAGCAGTTTTCAGTACTGAAAGTGGATGCTGCACGTTTTGCTGCAGTTTAAGAAAGTGACTTTCAGCTACCTTGGGATGCCAAGACCGCTGAGGAAGGTCAGACAAGCCTTACCAACAGGCAAACTAGAGTCTCAAACTGAGATCAGCCATGTAGATCTTAGATAAGGTTTTTCCTTCTATTTTTTTTAGAAAAGCTCTATGGCCTCTAGCACTTTTCAGTCTGAGTTTCCTCAGAGATCAAGGCAATACTTTACTGGCTTTGAAGAAATTCAGATGTTTTATGTAATATTATTATTACATATGTAATTGTAATTATGTAAATAAAATTATGTAAATAAAAATATTTTTCTGGACCTCAGGATCCACTGAGCAATTTCTAGAAATCTTCAAAATATTGACTAGATCTCCTCGCACCTATTCAATGAAAAAATGTTATTATATTAATTCCAGAAATACAAAGACTGAAGCACAGATCGGGTGAAGAAGCGCTGGCAATTACTCAGTGACAGATGTTTCACCAATTTTTAAGAATTGCTCCAAAATTGGAGCAATGAAAGCAGAGGACTTTTCTCTGTCATAGCAGTATTTTATTCCGGTGTAGTTTCTCCTCTACCAAACTTAAGCATAAAGATGCTGTTTTCAATAAAAGGAATTTCTGAGCTGTAAACTAATTAAAGTTATTCAAGTGGGCACATTTCAATATGACAGGAAACAATTCAAAGAGGACTCATTAAATCAGTCCAATTTTAGATACTCTCTCTTCTTTCATGAGACTGAGAAGGGCTAGTTCCAGTTCAATTCAAATTTGCTGTAAACTGATTATCTTGTAATTAATTCAATGTTACTTACAAGCTTATAACTAGAACCTTCCAGCTTATTAAAAAGGAAGCACACTGCATGTGAAAGGGAGAAAGAGGAAGAGAAATATGGAATGAAAAGCAAGAGAAAAAATAGCAAATTATAAAAAAATATATACAACAAAAGAAATAAGGGAAAATAAATAAAGAAAATGGGGGTGCATCTTTTGCACTTAAAAAAAATGGAAGGATTTACTTACTTAATTTTGACAAATTTACGACATGGCACAGTGTTTTTTTGGCAGCTTTCCATCAAAGGATCCACATCTTCGACGATGACAAAGGGAGCCTCCTCCAGGGTGACAATACTCAGGTGGTTATCATCTGGGTCACTGTCTGCAAAGGAACTGTACCTTGGCCAGACAGAGTACTTCAGGCTCAGTGAGTTGTTCTCCCATTTCCCCACCTGAAAAACCCAAGATACACAGGCTGCTCACATCTGCTTCTGATTTTTCACAAATGAGTTCTCATATTAAGTGCACTGGGATATAGGTACAGGAAATGACATTGCAAAGACACTTGTCTTAGTTTTTTTTTGTTATCAAAACCACTTTAGAAATCTTCAGCAGTTGCATGAAGTGAGAAACTGCATTGTGGTAATGACAAATAAGATAATGCTATTTCAAGAGAGAAAAGCTTTACAAAGCCTTGATAATACCAGCTAATGGTAGCTATCACTTGGCTACAGGCGTACAGAAATATGGCAGGTATCATATGCATTTGAACCAGAACAGCAAACATGTCTGTAATCAATCTGTTAAGTAGTAAGAAAACAGGCATCAAAAATAAAAAGAAAACTAATGGCTTTGCCACACACACACCGGGCCGATGACCAAAGAATCACAACAGTTCTATGTCTTCTCTACAGAAATTACTTCATGTGTTAGAAGAGGCCTTCACATTTGAGAAGGCATTGCTAAAGCATTTTGCCTAGTCCTGGGTTTTCTGAGCTGGGCCAAACTAAGCAGAACAGAAGAATAATCGACATGACATGTTTCTTAGTAGAAATAATACATTCTGCCTTAATTACTGCCAAATAATTAAAAAAGTTTAGCAACTAATCAAACAAGCCTTTGCTGTTAGAGTAAATATGTGGTTTTAGGACTAGTGGGGAACATGTCCAGTTTTACTTTTAAATTATATATTTATTATTATAAATTATCTTATTTACTATTATAAATTACCCAGCCCTAATGAACCTGTATTTTTTTCCACTGCCAGAACACCAGCAGTGGGCATATGATTAAAAAATGATTTAAGTGTTTTGAAAGCTCTAGCATTTTTAACTACTTTGTAAATCTAATTGCAGTTTACCAGAGCAGTAATGACAGATTATATAAATGAGCTACCAGTCCACATAATTTATAAACCAATACATTTTAATAATCCTTCAGTTACTTAAGCTAAACAAATTACAAATAATCATGAGACTAGTGAAATATTTGTTTTGCAAGGAAAATAGTGGGAATTAACGATGCTCAGATGCTAAAAAAAAAAGACTGTATGAAATTTTTTCTTCCCTTTGGTCTTCTAAAGACTTTAAAATGAATTGCAAAAGTGCCCAAAGAACATAATTTGTATCTCTTCCCATTTAGAGAAGTAGACAAATATGTGCCCTTTGCAGTTTCCTTTCTGTCCTGTTTCTAACGCAAGATATTTTGCTGAACTTTAAAGTAAGAGGTGGAAATGCCAAATCTTTATACACTTAAATTAGGAAATTCAAAATATCCCAAGAGAATGAGGAATTCTAAACCAGCAGGAACCAGGCACGGAAATTATATTACTTACAGTTCTAGTATGTAATTTAATCAGAACACAATAGATGTAGATGTAGCCTTTGAGAAAAACAATTCTATGCACAGGAAAACAAATGTACTTAACTCTACAAGACAGTTATATTGCAAAAAACTGTTTGATTGCCAAGTTCTGGTACATAATCTCATTCACAGCAGTGTCTGTGCTGCTTTATGTCAGCTTAGACAGCATCATTGATGGCTACACCCTAAGTACGCCAGGAGGCTCCAGCCAGAGCCTTCCACCAAACAAATACACTGAGTACAACAGTGGAAAATGTGCCTGCCTATTCCAAACAGCAGTAAGAAAAGCAAGGTGACTGGGGCTCAATTGCCATTGGATGTCCAGGAACATGGCAAGAGCAGTGCATGCTGTTCTGCATGTCCTGGTAAAGGCTCTGGAAGCACCTCCAGTGTGCATGACTGTCACACAGACCAAAAGGAACACAAACAGCCCTCTGTGATATGCACTTATCTGATCCTATCAAAAATACAGTGGCTGCTTTGTTGTTAAAACAGCAATCATGACATATTTCAGTACTTTACTTAAAACAATTGCCCTTTTATTGTTCTGAGGAGGATGCAATCAGTGATGTTTTTAAGGAGCTGAACATGGGGAAACACTCATTTTTTAGGTAGCTGCATATCTAAAGAAATGTTATATTGATTAAGTCTCTAAAATCCAAACATCTGCTTTTTCCACAGATCTACCTCCATAGTCTCTTATTATATGAGTGTCAAAAAGTAATTAAGACCTTCCCTCAGGCCTCAGGAGCATCACCACTTCTCTCTGAAGAATTCTGCTGCTGCATTGCCAGCACACTGAATTCACCTGGGCTTCAAAGAGGCATTGCAGGTCATCCCACAGTGCAGTGAGGGACACACAGAGTCAGAAAGCACAGTGGCAAAAAATAACAGGATGAAGATTTCAATATAATGAACAATGGCAGAATATTCCTGAGAAGCCTTGCTGGTGGGAAAATGGCAAATAAGAAAGAGTAATTAGTAATGCCTCTATGTCACTCCTTTTGTTTGGGTAGTATTTGTGTTGGATTTGCTTGTCCTGATTTAAATAGTTAGAATGAACATTGGATGTGCTCTGTCACTGATGCTGGACTCACAGATGAACAGTTTTCATCTTTATTTGGTAATGGTGCTGAAGAACACATGTTGCACTTCTTTCTACCATCCAGCTACAGTTCTGAATGATCAAAACACTTTTGTTTCTTATTTATTTTAAATGCAGGGTAAGAACTTAGCTTTCTGCAATTAAAGCACGTGGTCAAAATACATTAAAGTTTTTATAGTTACATTAGAAGCCTTCCAGCCTCAACAGAACTAATAGTAGTACTGCTAATAAGAATCTGAATGGTATTAATTATTTACACAGTGTTTTGTAACCTCATATATTATTCAGTTCTTTCAACATCCTTGTGCAATTGATGGTATCAATTTTTAAAAGGTGAAGAGTTGAAATGACAGAGAAAAGCTGCAGACTAAGTAAAACTGAAACATTAATATGCTCCTGCTGAAATTCAGAGAATTTATGAAATTGAATCCATATTTTGCTGTCTTGCAAGATCAGCATTTGTGTCACTTACGTAAAATTCAGATCTAGGACTATATCCAATCAGTATCTCTTTTGAATGCATGAAAAAGTTTCACATGCTTAGGTGGGAAAAACTGGTCATAACACATTTCCATTTTATTTCTGAACTTTATAAAGAGATTTGCTTGTAAACGGAAGAATTTCTGTGCAAACTCAAATGTTCTTATTCAAAACTCTTTAATGACTTATCTGTGACAGCAAAGAAAAATAACTGAGACACCAAAGGCACGCAAGACCTGACTTCACCTCCAAAGGCAGTAGAATAAGTTCATCTATAAGATATAAAAACTAAAATATGAAAAGTTCAGTTGCTATTTTCAGTGGGAGGCAAGAACTACATTTGAATAAACCATGTTACGGTGAAATAGCTGACCAACCTGGACAGCTCCAGCATTTGCCTCCAGTGCCTTGCAGCACACTTTTTGCAGAACATGCTACTTTGAGATCATCATAGCTACTGATGAAATGAACTGAAAATGTCATCCTCTGACCAAGTCCAAGTCTCTAGATTGCAGGCTCAAGGGGTTCCTTTTTCAACTAGTATGCTTACCTTGTGATATTGATATCCCTTATACAAATATTCATGAAACAGCCAAGAAATCACTGCAATGCAGGCTATGGTAAACCATTAATCACCTGAAGGTAAAACTGACACCACTGGTAAAACTGATACCATTGTTACACACCAATCAAGTGTAACCTGGGTTTACAAGTTTTTCTCTGAAGATGTTAATGCTATCAAATCGTGACTCATACAGTTTATCATCAAACAATTCAGAATAAAATCTCATTGATTGGAATTAGACAACAAAGCAGGAGGAAACAACTGGAAAAAAAAAAAAAGGGCAGGTGATTGTGACAGTATAAAGGCTCAATATCTACATTGTTTCTTGTTAGCTACCTCATAATGTAAAAGGTACAGAAAAGCTGAATTGCTTACTAGATACTTTATTTTTTAAAAGCAAATGTCAGCACAATACACATTTTCATTTCAAGAAGAAGCAAGAAGTGGAATGTAGTTATTAGTTGCTCAAATCTGTTAAATCTTTTGGTTCAAACAGCTGTTACGTAAAGGAATACAGTGCACAACACAATGAAAGGAAATCTGCATGTTTTGAAGCACTGTTGACAATATACCACAGAATCATAGAACGGCTTGGGTTGGAAGGGACACCAAGAATTATCAAGTTCCAACCCCCCTGCCACAGGCAGGGCTGACAACCTCCAGATCTGGTACTAGACCATATACCCATAAACCCTACCTGTATTCTAACAGAAAATGATTTATATGCCCAAGCCACTCTCTGATCAGTGCTGGCAGCCACAGCCCCAGAAGCCTTTACACCAAACCAGCAAATGAACTTATGTGTAGACTGGACAAAGCTGTGGCTAGATAATCCTGGCTGGACTTGCTGCATGAAGAATTTGGAAATAAATGTTGTTCTTTCTCATGTTTCACAAAACAGGAATCTAAAGGAGTAAGCAGTAAATCCATGTATTCATAACAGAGATCTGACATAATTTGCATAGCTAAGCAAAGACTGGGAGATATAAAAAAATAATTAAAAAAATAAAAGTAGTAAAGTCACAGATAACATTGAAACACACTGTTTCTACTGTGGAAATCCTTCTACTACAGTGATGAATCTTATTCTTTACGTCTGTGGCTTAGAAATCCCAACTTCTACATAACCAATCTCAAGTGAACTCTGCCATTCAGAAGTCTTCACTTATCTCACAGTCTTCAAGCCAGCACTGCTTGGAAAAAAAGTTAGCCAGAGGCAAGAGGTCAGTGAGAGAGTAAAAACACTACAAAGGCCAGGCTGCCAAAACTCTATGTTGATAAGTTATGAGATGGGTAGAAGAGAATTTTCCTGAAGATAATTTTTTCTCCTCCTTTTCCTGAAAGAATTTTTTTCCACTTAAAGAAAGAAAAAAGTGAAAGAAATATGAATTGAATTTGAATTGAAAGTAATTTGTATTTGAAAGAAAGTTGAAGCAAAT